ACGTTAAGAGAGACACAGAACTGTCAGCCCATCATCACCTTGTTGCTAACACTCCGCTGTAAACAATGGACTATCATGCGAAAAAATGCAGGGGGAATGAACCAGAGATCCAAACGGGAAACGTCATCTTCCACACAAGCTATACGAAGGCAGAACTTCCAAACAAAATTACGAGACGTTTTGAACAGATTCCACTGAGGTGATGACAGCTGGTGTGGAAACCGACTAGAAGCTCTTTAAAAGCGGCTTACTCGGGGCAGACGCCGAATGCTGCGGGTTCAAGGAGTTGCTCTACCGCCTGCGATTCAGAAACAAACCCCCTGGTGACACACGATAAAATTCACCGTGAAATGCTCAAGGTAATAGGCGAACAAGACATGTGTTGACGTACACCATGAAAAGACTTACGTCTCTGATAAGAACATGGACCCTTGATACAGAAGCCTACCTGATAAATGCAATGTCTTATTCAGCCGCTAGCCTCAACCTTTTCGGGATAATCCAGTAAAAGATCTGCCCTCAGAGGTCGACACCAGAGTCATCCCATGATAATTGGAACAATACACTTTCATTTCTCTTTAAGTACAGTAACAATTGTTAGGTTCTGTGCTCAGAAACACTTAACTTAACTTACAATAATTAATGATCATGCTAAAGAGGAGTTTTAAGAAGCCTGCATATCCGCAGCAAAAGCACTGAATTGCGCAACAATATACTGCTCATCAATAACCATTTTCAGAGACAGGAGTCTTTATATGATTGTATCAAAACATATATGATCCTGCGCTGTGAATACGTTAATAACTAGGCCCGAAACGAAAACAGGATGCAGCATTTCAAGGTACACATAAGCAGAAGGGCATAAAGATTACAAGGGATAAATATTCCAAGCTGAACATCAGTTGTGAACTCCTCTTAATCTTGCCAGATCAAGAACGATCATGCTTGAGAGAACACCTACTCAAGATGTTCCGGCCATCAAACATATTGGAATGTTCAAAAACGCCTGATTTAGTGGAATAAAAGAACTTCAGCTTATAATGTCAAAAAATGTTATATGATTTACCATGTGTGGAAAATTCTTCTCCACCCCTTCTACTCTACTCATCATTCGTTCCTTTGTCTACATCTGCATCCTGATATAGATATATC